GTATAATGATAATAATAATAATAACATATTTTGCTATTTAATATAAAACAAAACTTGTTTAGTTTGTGGATTATTTTGGATTAGATGGGGGAACAGTAGGCAGTACTGTTTTGTGTTACTGATAAAGCTCATCAAGACAGACAGAATGTGGAAATAGTAAATGGCCATGGTGAAGCATTTACAAGACTACAATCTTTGCATCACATCAAACAGGGTCCAGTCAAACACACACATCGAGAGGAGCACTTCCGATTGCGGCTCATTTCTCCACAGCGTGGTGTGTTAAACTCTCTCCATCTCTTCACTCAATGGAGCGTAGCTCATCTGAACACTGAGCAATAATGAGCCACAGAGATGCACTTGTGTGTCTGTGAACCAAAGCGAGTGAGTGAGAGAGCTCTGCAAGAGGAGGGGGAGAGAGAGGCTATCCATTTCCTCCCTGGGGCAACTTCTCTTTGGCTCTTTGTTGCTGAAATGCTCCCAATGAGCAGGTTACACTAAAGTCTGCTCTATTGTCTTAAACAGCTGTGCGTTGCACTCTCTCTCTCTCTCTCTCTCTCTCTCGCTCATCTTTTTTTCAGGTTCCTCAATCAGGGGCAGTTTCTGAGATCTCTAAAAGCAAAAGCCTGTGGCAGTGCTCCCCCTTACCCAAACACACACACAGAGATCTGCTTCTGTTTACAGTGTCCCACAGTAGGGGGTCTTTCCTGATTCAGCTGCTTTCTCAGTATGCAGATAAATAGACTCATATTACCATACATTGCAGATTACTAATAAAAACAACAAGAAAAACGACAACAATAAGAAGCCTAGAAAGATGAAGAATAATAATTATAGCTGATTGTATGCTGAATTAGAATAATATGAAAAAGATGTTCTGTTCACTGGCATCTAAAAACAAATGTCTGACTGCATTGATCTGTCTTGTATATTTCAACATACAGACTGCTAAAATGATTCAGAAAAATGTACGTGTATTACAGTACAGTGGTCTTTTGTAAACTGATCTCAGTGTGGCAGACTGCTCGTTTTGAAGGCTTATTTAATCATGTTGTGAAACTGTAAATCTATCAGTTGGATATTTGTGGCGACAAATACTGTAAATATGTGTGTATCTGTATTCAGGAGAAATCCTGTAATCTGATAATACTGAAAACTCTGATATGAATCAATTAGGGGAGACAGGAAAGGGAAGTGTTAGTACCAAAGTTACTATTTGTGTGTGTGTGCTATATGTCTCAAATGTTTTATAATATTCCATATTTATCTTCGGCAAATGAAAGTGGTTTAGAAAGCTGCAATGTATGCCTAAACTATATAAATTAACGTCAGCTATAAACAGTGCTGTTGTTACAAACTAACACTGGTGGATTGCCATACTATAGAAAATGTAGAAATGTACAATTTTGTGAATTATTCTATAATTTGTTGTGGTTTTCAAATTTACTTGTTAATAAAATAATAATCACATATGTCATCACAACCCATCACTTTCATTTCTAGAGGTTTAATTCAAATGGTAAACAAATAGAAAAACGTTTTTACTCTGAGCAGCACATGAAATTGGAAACAATAATTCAAATGCATAAACAAATAATGTGTTTGCTGGTCACGCTCACAATTTTGGCAAACAAATAGCCTGTCTTAAAAGTCTTGATCAGTAGGTTTTCTTGTTTAAATTGATATATGTATATATCCTCCACACAAGTTTACGTGTTTAAATATCATAGAAATATAGTGAGCAGGGGTTTAAAAAAAAAACTTTATAATGTGTTTTTTTCCCCGACACATATTAACTGCACAGAATAGGTCAGTGCAAAAATCCATTATGACTAAAATACTTTTTACTTTCTTACCACAAAAAATGTTTAGATTTTTACGCAGAAATGTACACGTTCTACTGTCAGTTCAAGACGGTTATGCACATGTATAGTGAATTCACTGCCCAACAAGAAAGAAAGAAAGAAAGAAAGAAAAGAGAAAGCAAGCAAAAGGCGCAGATGACGCACCATGTAAACTAAATTAAAAGGAGTTCTATTACAGCCCAAGAATAATAAGCAAGAACAACAAGCAGAAAAACAAAGAAAAGCCATAAAGGACATTAGGCGCTGAGCTTTATATAACATTTGAGTGAATATTTCATGGGCAGAGAGATAGAGAGAGACTCTAAACTTTCATTAAGCAGGGTATTTCGCTGGGAGGGAATTTCGGCGCCTTTCACTTTTTTTCTTGGCTTTTATTGCAATAATACAGATATCTCTCTGGCTCCCAGCCCCTCCTCATTCAGCCCATTTCCTTCCTTCAGCCCGTCTCTCTCACTCTATGCTTTTTAAAATATAGTAATAAAAACATACTAGATCCTTTTTAAATGCACTATTACTTATCATGGTCTTTTCATATCGTAGCATCACAGGTGTTTTAAAGCCGCTATAAAAGTGCGTCATTTATTATTCAAAAGCAGCGTCGTCTTTTTGCATATTATCTGAGCGCTTTTATACTGCGGGCTGCCAGACTCCCATTTAAAATGTTCGGCAGAATTGATAACGGCAGACACGCGCAATAAAAACAGCGCCGGGGGCAGGGTGGCACGCGCGCCCGCTCATATGCAGATCCCGGTAATTACTCCAACAATTCGCCAACCATTCCTTTGAGCGAGGGATTTCACGCTTTTAATTCAGTTTTCATCAATCTATTGATTCCCGGCTGCTAAATTGTTTGCACGGGTCAAAGATAAGAAGAGGAGGGTCCGAGTTCTCCTCCAGCACTCTGCCAGGTGAAACCGTTTGTGTCCCTCACAAAATCTGGATATTTATGAGTGCATTTAATACCCACCTCCCAAAAAAGAAAATATTAAATTATGGTTTCATTCAGACCAGAACTTTTCATTGATGTAGGCCTACAAAATTGTAAAAATTCACATTTAAAGCGCTTTTGGAACAACTTTTGAAACAAAACATAAGCCTAATATTTTTATTGCACATAATAATAATAGGCTATCTATAAAACCTATACTTCTTACGACAGGCTATATTTTTAAGCTTTATTTTTTTACATACATGAACAGCGATTTATTTTATTACTGAAGTAAGATAACATGAACACTGGATGCATCCCATCTATCCATCTATCTATCTATCTATCTATCTATCTATCATCTAATGAGAGGGAAACATGTGGCATGATAAAAGCAAACAGGCTCAGAGCGAAACAGTGACCATGGGTCAACGACGGGAATAACGTAAGCGTCTTCAGCCACTGGACGAGGGCCGAACTCCCGGGGGAACGAGGCTTTTTAGCGTCAGCACTCACTAATGGTCTATTAAAATATCAACTACTTCAAAGTAAACGGATTTGCTCCACACCAGCTCCCACCCCTGAAGCTAATCAAACGCGGCGGCCAGGCCAAAAGAGCATAATCATTTTTACGTGGCAGATTACAAGGAACCACTTAGATCCGCTGTCAGAAGATCGGGTGTCCCAACACTCTCGATTAAATAAACGCGAGGGAGTGCAGCTCTCCAAGCGCCAACAGTGCAGGCTCCTTTAGGCGCACAGCTGTGAAACTGACGGTTTCCGGATGCAACCACTAAAGAGCATCTAAAAGTCATTGAAATGATGCTGGGCCTATAAAGGACTCAATCCAGTAACGTTTTAGAAAATATTTAACAGAAACTAAATTATTTACGTTGGTTTAAGAACACTTTAAAAAGTAAGCTGGTGTCTGCATTATAGGCTAACAAAATTAGTAACGTGTGAGTTTTAGGTAGTCTTGCATGTCCAATGTTTAATGTTACCATTATTGTCGAATGATAGCCTACTCTATATCGGACATAAATACACCGTCCCTAAATCGATTTAGAGAGACTTCAGTGAATACTTTTCAGTCTATTTTCCGTTTATTTTTATACCTTTTAGTTTGAATCTTCAGACTATGCTTAATATTCGTAACATTGAGAAGTTAAAAAGCGCTTCAATTAACATGGTTTATGAAAATAAATCAGAATTGTAATGATTCTATCAAAAATAGGAATCCTAAACTTATTACTATTAGGCTATTATATTATTATTATTATTATTATTATTATTATTATTATTATTATCATTAACCTTTATGTTGCATTTTGTCTTGATGCGATGTAGCCTAATGAACAATACTTTCCAACTGCCCCATGGACAAAATAAATAAAAATGATATTTAATTAGTTTTTTCTAATAAAGCCGAGAACGAGTCTAAAGTTGATTGACATATGAGAAAAAAAGGTTGAGGGCACCTTTGAGGTCAAAAGCACTCCTCCAGTTGCTGGAGGCTATATATAAATTCGATTTTTTTTTCTTAAAGCGTGAATTGATCATAGCCTAAGTGTTTCTGATTTTAATATACGACGATTAGAGTTTCTAATCCAGAAAGATTATTAAAACGTTAAAGTCATCTAATTATACATTCCTCATCTCATCTGATGAAACTACTAACTACAAACTACTTTTTCTACACAAAAGGTCCATATGGTAAATAATACAATTGATGAGCACTTTATTTTCCACGAGGCCACGGTAGAATCTCTATTAAATACTCAAGTTTTTAAAAAGCCAGTGATGACGTGCTAATGTCAGCATGTCCATAATAAAGAGATACTTGACCAATTCAGAAATTGGGGACTAAACGATCTGCATTTTAAAGAATGATGTCACACAACACGTTATGAAAGCCAATAAGGAGAGGGAGATTGAGCACTGTCCAATCAGAGAAGAGAAGAGCTCAACGAGTTCCGCGCAGGGATCCGGTGGAGAGAGAGTGCCAGAAATCTGCCAAGTCCTCGTGCCAAAAACTTTTCACCCAAAGACGAATGCGTCCAAACCATCCTAAATCAAGAATTGAATCTCGAGGAGTAATACATCACAAAGTAGCTATTACTAGGGATTCTCTCACTCATAGATCTAGAGTTTACCATAGCACAATTCCAGGGCAGTCCGAAATTGTCTGTGGAATAAACTCACTGGAAAGCTTCGGGTGGTGAGGATGGACCGAGCCCCAAGCTCTAGCCCAAGTGGCACCAGTCAAACATCACAACCTACCCAACATGAACCCATCAGCTTCGGCATTGACCAGATTCTCAGCGGCACCGATCAAGAGCCACAGCAGAACTCGACCAGGAATAACTCCGAGAGCAGCAGCAGCAGCGGCAGCGCGAGCGGAGGCAGTTACCATCTCGGCAGCCCAACAGGAGCGAGCGCAACGCCGTACACACTAACCGGCACTTTTCACGGCATCGCGGCTCCATATGAGGAGTCCAGTCCATACGGAGTGAACTTGACCCTTGCACACGGAGGAGTGATTAGGGTCCCGGCTCACAGGCCCCTGGCCGCGGCCGTGCCTCCACCCATGGCCAGCGCGGTGCCCGGTCTTGGGAGCCTCAGTTTTCCCTGGATGGAGAGCAGCCAGCGCTTCGCAAAAGACAGGTTTGCAGGTAAACAAATAGTCTTATTCTTTCGATCTGTTCATTTTTCTAACAAAATCCTCGTGGTTGAAGCTATCAGAATAAGGAAATGGTGAATTGTCTGAGAAAACAAAAAATCACTCAAGTTCACATTTGCGTCTTATATAACAAAAACACAAACATAATTGCAAAAAGTCCAAACTCTATGTGAATTAGCTATGTTTTAAAATATTTGTAGTTTAAATGTCGGTGGTCTGTGGATTTTTGACAGTAAAAGTCGAGCAGACTTACAACGTATGAAATGTAAAACACACATTTCTAAGACTATGGTGTGTGTTTTTTCTTGTTTTAAATATATTTATTTTGAATTCTGTTTTATTTATTTATTTTTTATAGGACGGCATAATTATGAGAGAAGAACTAAAACAACAACAAAACATTTGAGCTATTGTTGGTGGCACGCTATAATAACAGTACTTTAGCAATAACTTTAGGCCTTATTTTATATTATATATAAATAAAGGCCTTATATTTAGGCCTTATATTATGTGATGCTTTAGTTAGCCTATCATTAAACTAGCCTACATTTAAATAATTAGACTATATGTTTTATTATAGCCTATTCATATGAACGCACCACAGATTACTTAAATAGAGTAGCCTAGCCTATATTTAAAAATGTCTTTGCGAGTTATCGCAATTAAAATGTATTCCCCAAAATAGCATAATGCACTTTTAATCATTTGCCATTTTAGTTGTGCAAATTGCGATGCTGTTGCATGTGTGCTCGTGAAAGAATCACAAGGATGAATTGGTGGAAGTTTCAACAATAAATATTAGACAGTATGTCTGGGAAACTTGATCCTGCTGTTTCCATAAAGAGCCGGCAGATGAATGGACGCTGCTGAGGAGCTCGTTTTAGTTTTATTTGACCTTGAAGAGCGTGAAACACCTGTGCCGGTTATGGGCGAAATTAAATGAAAAGGCCGATAGAAAGTCAACACCTCAAAATGCTCAGCTTAGGTCAACGTGTCTGTTAACAGCACGAGCAAAAATATTTTTGTTTTCATGATTTTGCTTTATATTTAAGCCTATTGGACATATGCAATTTTTAACACATATCTGAATAATTGTGTAATAACTGAAATCATCGCGTTTTTTTAGATTAACCAGATTTAATTGGATATACAGGCTTATTTTTATTATTATTTTTTGTTTTTCAAATATGTATTGAACATCTACCAAGCGGGCTACATAAATACAGAAATAAATGAGTATTGTTTTTATTTAGTTTAACCGCTCTTTTGCATACGAATGTAAACTCTTATAATTCAGAGCTGTCACATAGATCACCAGCTTTCTTTATTCTGGGGTAAATGCGAACGCTGTGCCATTAGAAAGACATATCAATATTTCACCAGCTTTAATTATTGCCACCTATAGCTGCGGTAACAGGCGCTCTCTGCTGCTGTGTGTACACTTTTGAGAAGAGGAGGGGCTGCTTGAACATTACACAAATGTAATGTCTAAATAAACTGGATATTTACCTCCATGAATCAATTACATCTCCACAACAATTAACAAAATTTCACTTAAATGAATTATATCTAAATCTATATGTTGGCAAAATATTCACACAATTAGTGATTTTTTCCTCAAAGATGACCATATCTTCTTGTAGCTTTGCTGTAGTTAATTTCACCCTGTAATTCATTGTTTGCACTGGAAACTGAATATCTTCAGTAAATGTGCACATGAGCAAATTTGTGGCAAATGTAAAACTTCTACTCCTCTAATTTTCTCTATATCATCTCATGTCAGACGGCAGACGGCGGAAGAGAGGGAGGCAGAGCGTCAGCAGGCCAACCGGCTGATGATTCAACTCCAGCACGATGCCTTTCAGAAGTCTTTGACTGATTCAGTTTCAACAGACCCGCTCTGCATCCACAGCTCATCACTCTTCGCCCTGCAGAGCATACAGCCTTGGGCGAGCGAGGAGAGCGGCAAGCTTGGGGGAGTGACTGCGCTCGTATGAGTACCAGAACTCAAGAAGCAAATGACATTCTCCTTCTTTTTCGATGGACTGGGATGTTGGCTGACCTTATCTCCGTCCTAAAAGACTATTCCATTCCACAAAAAAGCGAGGAACTAATATTGGCCATCCAACAGTGAGCAAACCCATACAAATAAAACGGTTCTGCGTACGAGCCTCTGCAGAATAAATGAAGTCTGTTTTCTGTGGTGTGTCTGTGCATACAGAGACTTTTATCCCCATCAGGGTCAGTTTCATTGACAAAATGACTTATAGAATGGAACAGGCCATCTCAGCTGACCCTTTTACAGATCCTCTGATCTTCTCCTCCATCCTTTCATTTGTCCTTCTGCCCCCCTGTGTAATTTCTCCACCACTCAGAGCTGTAGAATACAGGATTAATGCAGAAGAGGGAAGTAACGATGAATTACTTATTTATAATGTGAGCTGCACGACCTAAAATGCCCCCAATCTGGCCATTTGTGAAAATAAAAGGACATAAAGATGGACAAATAGACACACACTTTTCCCTTTTTGTCAGGCTGGGTATGCATATTTCGTCTTTTTGTGGTTCAAAAGATAACCAGCTACTTTTGTTTTTTTAATTTTATGAAACTGCATCCCGATTATTTGAGGAATCGCATGAAGCGTTCAAAAGAGAGGCGTATGACATTGTACGGGGTGGTTGCAATTTATTTTATCGGTTAGATTTATTCAGCAGTGACTCCAAACGCCGCTCAGAAACTCCTCAGAATCATGCTTCGATGGTTGAATGTTGTGTGTCAGAGGGAAAGAACAATTTCAGAAGAAACAAGGGTTTGTTAGATGATGTAGGTGTGCTGTTGCATCCCAAACTCTGTATTATACTTTGTATTTGATAAATATGTAAATAGCAAACAAAAAGTAATAAACATTCTGTTTTGGCATTAACACAAAAGGTGTGCTTTGCTTAATTTGTTATTCCCCTAATGGTTTTTTTTTGTGTGTTTTGGGTAATAAATAAACGAACAATATAGGAAATTACTGTCATTAGGAGAACAGCTGCTGTTTGTATTTGATGCAACATTAATAGGATATGTTTTGTGTGATGTTATTGTACAGCTTATATGTAACCTGAGTAACAGGCCTCTCAACAAATCCTAAGAGCATCAGCAATCCATCTATTTATGAGGGTTTTTAGTATTTATCAATCAATAATATAAAGTCTAACTTGACATCTAAAAGGTAAAGTGCATGAAGACATGGAGTAATTTATAATAATGAGGAACAGAGTTTTCCTTTGACTCAGCAAGAGTCAGAAACTTGGGCTGATTAATGCAGCACACAATTACACAAACCTTTAAGTGAAAGCTGGTTTAATGTGCAAAAAGCATTTTACTTCCTAACAGTCCTTCATTTTCTTTGTCAATTATTATATGGAAAAAAAAGCTTGATTCTAAAATTGTGCAGTGCATCCAGTTTTTTTGTACAGTTTAAATCCAGTTTAAATGCATTTAAAAATATACTCTAATACTGCAAAAGCAACAGAAATATGTTACAGTGTAGGTATATGAAATACTAGGTATTTTATATATAAAAAAATCACAATATTAACAAAAAAGATTTTAAATCTTGAATAGCCAGATTCCAATTTTGCCTGAAAAATTATTTAGTGTGACAGAAGGAGGTCAATGAACTGTGTGTCAGACTCTTCATGACTTACATCTCTCACTGGCTTTTCCTTCTTTATTCATACTACAGCAGCCCTGACGCCTTTCACTGTGGCTCGGCGTATTGGTCACCCGTACCAGAACCGCCTTTGCTTAATTTGTTATTCCCCTAATGGTTTTTTTTTTTAGAAGAGGCATTTTCCAAATCCCTAAGCAGCACTCTTCTCTAGAGTAATGTGTTGCTTTCAGAGGTCCTACCACCGCTCTACACAACTTGATCGACAAATAAACACTGAGTCCTGGTAGTTGCTTGCAGTCGATTATGCCTGCCACAGCAAAGAAGCACTTATGTCCTCAAGCAGATAAATGCGGGATCCTGTGGGACCATAAAAATGCCTTTATGCCCACAGCAACCAACTCCCTCCTCCCAAAGTGCTGACTCTCAGGAATTGACCTGTTTTAAAGGCCTGGGTTGGGGGTAAATGGAGGGGTGTCTTATGTCTTATGTCTTGTGATTTAACAGACTCCTTACATTATGATGCTGTCGAAGCCTCAGCAGGGTGAACCTGTGGAGTTCCGCCACAGCTCTTTGTGGACAGATGGTTAGTAGTGACCTGTGCCAGGGCCTCTTTGACTGGAGAGGGTGAGGTGATGTGTACGGTTGAGTCGGGGTCATCTGAGAAAGCCTTCGGTAATATAGACTCAATGCTCAAGATCATTTACACAGGAAGTATTCCTGGCTCCTTTCCACATCTACAGCAATGACATCACTTCTACGGTTGCTCAACTATAAAGTGATTTGTAAAGCGTGATGTTTTACCGCCCTCTGCTGGCTATTATGTGCAAGTGGTCATCTACAGCCACAAACTCGGAACGAAAAATTGAATATATTAAACGTCTAAAAGATGAAAAATAAATGTAACATATAAATATAGTAAAACAATCCAACTTGTTTCAAATGCTAAAACAGTGTAGAGTTGGTGTAGAATAGTTTTGCAAAAAATAGCCAATGAATATTGGCAAACCTGTGGCACCACAGAGCAACCTGACAATTTTGCTAAACTTTTTTTTATAAGAGAACTCTTCGCTATTTATAATACCGTACGTCTTTCTCCCGAGTGCAGATCTGTGAGCTGGAGAAGCGCTTCCACAGACAAAAATACCTGGCCAGCGCTGAACGAGCAACTATGGCTAAAACTCTGAAAATGACAGACGCCCAGGTCAAAACCTGGTTTCAAAACCGCAGGACCAAGTGGAGGTGAGACACAGAAAGAAAGGTTGATATATTCTAATGGAAAATGTAGAAATGTTGAGAAAAATGGTGAAAAATTCAAGTGTGATCTCACATCAACAAAGGCACAAGAACACCGCAATTTCACTAGACTATATTTCCCATTGCATATCTTTTTTTCTAAACGTTTGTCTGGACATTGATAATGTCCAATAGCACACTGTGAAATAGGTGCCCTGATTGTTTTAAAACTGTAACATGGTTTTACCCAGAGTTGTAAACAGGCAACAGAAATTATTGGAATGATAGAAAGATTTACTTGATAAAATTTCACGGCTGGACATAAAATCATTAAACAGAAAGAAATGCATATTTCAACTGCCATATTTAAAAGTTAAATAAACTAAAGACAAAAAATGTAGGCCTTTTAAATATATATATATATATATATATATATATATATATATATATTTAGACTAACC